TACTTCCTTTCCACGTTCATTTGGCCTATTCTAGTGGTGTTGATCGGTTTTTCCTTAAGAAATTTCTGCAAATCTTTAATTCGCTCTTATGAGCTTGCAGGGAAAGGGGTATATGCTATATGCTTTTTCCTCGCCATCTCGCAATATTTTCTCATTCTTTTTCAGTAGGGTTCACAAAGTTTTCGTAATTCATATTGAAAATTTCCTCAACGTTTCAGTCTTCGATGAAGATAATCATTTTCAGGAGATTCTCATCGAATTCCTTTTGTAGTTGTCAGCCATTCGTCATCCATAAAGCCTTCTTCCCTAGCTTTCAGTTGAAGATGAGTCTCCCTCTTAGGATTTGATGGCCGCTACTAGAGTCCAATGATGACTTTTCTGAGATGTCAAGCACAATGCGACGCTTGCCAAACAGTATGTAGCGAATTTCATTCTTGACTCTGTGTTTCGTGCAATCCACACCCATCTTTTACGGCTCATCTTCTTGAAACACCTAATCCCACTGCCTTGTTTCCGCTAGAATTAGTCTTTCTCTCCGTGAATTGAATTCTCTAAGCCCGTACGTACCAACAAACGTTCGTCGCTTTTCCTTGTAGGAACTTCGCGTCAAATTCTCTTGCAATTATGATGTTTGTTGATTTTAAATTCTGCATATCTCGAAATCCTTTCAAACTTTTTTTAAAAATATTTTCTACTTCACTTGCCCTTTAATCAGTGCGTAAATCTGGATGACTCCAAGCATGCACATTTTCATCAGATGTTCATCGAACATTCCTAACGTGATCACTTCAGCTGGTAGGAGATGACTCTTAAAGACCATTAATAGCTGATTATTAAGCCTACCGATCCAACGACTTTTGCGCTTTTTCTAAATTCCAGCTTCATTATGATATCGTGTATTAAATTTTAGCTTCTAGCGTATTCGCGAAGTATCGAATATGCACTTCGCAGATTATTTTGAACTCTCTGACAAAAGAAGGGTAGGTGCCGCTAGGAAAGCCTATTTCGGTTTTTTTAGCTGCCCTGCATCAGAAATTCCTAGCAGCCTGTCGTCAATCGAACTCTGCACCGGCAGGCCGAGGGAGGGGTATGGGGGTAATTGGGCCCATTTTTGCTATTTTAGCCATCATAATGAGCCATGCACTCGCTGGGCTTACAGTGGTGGATTCTACCTCCCAAAGCGTTGTTGATGTCTAGCCTCAAAGGAGACACCTTGGTATCATGCTCGACATTTCGACACTTTGATGGTACGGTAGAACCTTTTCCTGGTTTAAAATGCACTCTGCTATCATCGCTGTCAGGTACACTGCAACACCGCTCCTTCGCACTGAGGTAGAATTTTGAACCGGCAGAAATATCAAAGGAGGTCTGACTTATAACAGTCGGGAAATAAATGAATAATTTGAAATATGTGGTTTTAAATAAGAAAAATTTTAAAAGATGATTACAACAAATAATCCAGCGTTACCTATTACAAAGATAATGTAATGATCTCAGAATTGTTGCACCGCAATACGACTCTGAAGAGTTAAAATTTTTTTACATTTTCCAGTTTTGGGACGCCGAAATGTCAAATGTTTTCAAGCATCTCTGCACAGTCAGCCTT